TTACTCCCCTGACCCCAGGGCCTGTCCTCAGTATGCACTCCCAACCCCGCCCTTTATGTCCCCCGAACATTGCCCTGTTTAGTCCCCCAGTGACCTTTGGGGCAGTTTGCGTGATCCCCTCTTTGTGAGAGCTTTAGTGACTGACCCAGGGACCCTCGGCCAAGAGGGACCCAGCCAGAACAGAGCAGCACGGGCAGCAACCCCTGCCCCTGCAAGGGACTCTTGCTGGAGGCAGCAGAAACCAGGGCTTGGCCAGCGTAGTAGGCCCTCAGGTGCTCTCAGGACCCCCCTCCCTTGTTCTGTTTTTCCCTCCTTCCCTCTGGGTGCTTCTTAGATCGAAGCTTTTTGCTCTGTGCCTCCTGGCTGTTTGTCAGCTTCTCTGTCCATCTGTCCATCCATCTGTCTGCCCCTGCAGGAGCCGGGCCCTGCCCCTTGGCAGCGAAGGACAGTAGCCCGTGCTGCCCCTCCGAGCCCGCCCCTCAGGGGAGAGATGCAGGGAACAAATCACCACACCCTNACCCTGCCCCTGGCTGGTGGAGACTCACCTGGCTGCAGGGCCAAGACAGAGGCCAGCAGGGTCAGGAGGACAGCCTTCATGGTCGCAGGTGGGCAGTGGTGGAGCGGGCCTCATGGTGGCTTTATATGGCTTCAGCTGCGGGGAGGCTGTGCCTCCCACGGTCAACACTGACGGGCTCCCTGGAGCCAGTGAGGGCGCGAGGGCCGGGCAGATCCCAGTCTCAGGCTGCGGCTGACCCCAGGCTGCACCCTCCCGCTGCCTTTGTTCTTCCTTCTGCTGCTGGGAGGGCAGAGCCTGCCGGGGGCATTTCTCAGCCACCTCTGGGCCCCCAGACCGCACCTCCCCCACCTCACAGAGAGGGGCCAGACAAGGGAGATCCCTCTCTGGAGACCTGTCCCCTCCTTAGTCTTTCAGCCTAGTGTGGGGGGATGCCTCCCTCAGGCCCCTGCACTCCCTGAAGAAGCAGCGCTGCCCTCCTGGGGCCCATGGTCCCCACGGGTGACAGGCCTTGATCAAAGCATCAGAGACAGATGGGCATAACTGCTGCACAGAAGAAGGGTGGGCTGCAGAGTGGGTGACACGATGCCTTCCCTGGGGAGGGGACCTGGATGGGGGACTAAGACAGCTACAGGCTCACATTTATGGAGCAGTTAGTATGCGCTGGGCCCTGGGATAAGGGCTTTCCTCTCAGGACCTTATTTAATTTGCACAACTTGGATCTTCAGCTGCAAGGGAGTTGGAAAAGCAGCATCTTGCAGCCTCTGTGGTAGCAGGAGGTGGCACAAGCCTGGACACCACTGCACATTTTCCCTCGGCCCCAGGCCCACCCTCCACCCTGCTCTGAGTCCTGGGAGGC